TTGCCTAATTGCTCTGGCCAAAACCTCCAGTACTATGTTAAATAAGAGTGGTGATAGAGGGCATCCTTGTCTCAGTCCCTTTCCTCCTCCCCTCCTAAATTATTATTTTCATCTCTCAATCCAACTGTTCTTGTGAGTTTGTGGTTAGAGTGATAGGATTGTCTTTGCTTTGGTGATTTACTTCCCTTTATCCTAATGCTATAGTTGAATATTTGCTATCCTATTCTGGTCCTATCTATTTGTCTCCCTACTCTGTGTTTTGTGACCCCTTTCTCCCTTTTTTTCTTTTTTCAGGTATGAGAGCCTTCTTGAGGATTTCTTGTAGTGGAGGTCTTTTGGCTACAAAGTCTCTTAGCTTTTGTTTGTCTGGAAAAGATTTAATTTCTCCCTCATATCTGAAGGATATTTTTGCTGGATAGAGTATTCTTAGCTGAAGATTTTTATCCTTTAAAGTTTTGAATATGTCATCCGAATCTCTCCTAGCTTGTAAGGTTTCTGTAGAGAAATCCGCTGAAAGTCTGATAGGGGTTCCTTTGTAGGTTATTTTCTTCTGCCTTGCTGCCCTGAGTATTCTTTCTTTGTCATTCATTTTTGCCATTTTTACTGCTATATGCCTTGCAATAGGTCTTTTTACATTGACAAATCTAGGAGATCTGAAAACTTCCTCCACACACATTTCTCCCTCAATCCCTAGATTTGGGAAGCTTTCTTCTATTATTTCTTTGAGCACACTTTCTGCTCCATTTTCCTTTTCCATGCCCTCAGGGATTCCAATAATTCTTAAGTTGGATTTTCTCATTGAGTCTGCTATTTCTCGGAAATTTTCTCTTTTTTTTAATTCTTAGTTCTCTTTCTTCCTCTGTCTGGAGCCATTCAGCCTGTCTATCTTCGATTATGCTAATTTGCTCCTCTATGGTGTCTACACAGGCATTCAGGGAATCCGATTGCGTTTTATCTGATCCATTGTATTTTTCATCTCTAGTATTTCTGATTGATTCTTCTTTATACTTTCAATCTCTTTTGTGAAGTAACTCCAGAACTCGTTGACTTGTTTCTCTATATTTCCCTTTACCTCATTGAGTTTTTTGATAATAGCTACTCTGAATTCATTGTCACTTAGTTTACCTATTTCCAAGTCCTCAGGACATAATTCTGTGTTTTTATTGTTTTCCTTTTGGTCTGGAGCTTTTATAAATTGCTGGATGGTAGAGGAGTGTTTTTTGTGCATGATGCTATTATTCGGTTGCAGTTACAGCCTGTCACCCCTACATGGGGGTTGAAAGCCATGCATTCTGAGCCCTCCGCCTTCAGCCTCGATGGCGGTGCGCAGTCCGGGTTTGGGGAGGAGGGGCACTTTCTCTCCTGCACAGACCTGGCTTCCGATCAGCTCCACTCTCTGGTTTCCCTGGGCCCTGACTTGATGGGGTACCCCCACGCGAAAGCTTTCCCCTTTAGAGGGTTTCCGCTGCATGGGCAGTCGGAGTCCAGGATGCTCCTACAGAGATGCAGCCCCTCCCCCGCTCCTTCCCTCACCTGTGGCAGCAATCCCGGTCTCTAGGGGAGGGAGCGAAGATCTCTCTTACCCAGTTCCAGCTCCTCCAAGGGCGGTTCCAGCCTCTCTGCCCTCCATCTTTGGCTGCTGTGGGTCTCTGACGATCTCTGTGTTATTAGGATTTTTTGCTTGGAATTCAGTTCCTTTTGATTGTAGTTTGAAGGGGAGAGAGTCCTGGGTGAGCTCACTCTGCCATGTCGCTGACGTCCTATAGTTACCCTCTTTTAAGTGCTTTTGTATCCATTCAGTTGTCTTTTGAGGCAGACAGGGAGTTAATAAATTTAAGAATTTTTAAAAACCTATTCATCTAAGGGTGTTTATTAATTTCATATTTTAAATTAATTTATTAAATATGCCACATAGATTGTATTCATAAGGTATCTTTGTTTTTAAAGATTTTATTTTTTTCATTTTTCTCCCCAAAGCCCCCCAGTACATAGTTGTATATCCTTAGGTGTCAGTCCTTCCAGTTGTAGCATGTGGGATGCCACCCCAGCATGGCTCAATGAGCAGTGCCATGTCCGCACCCAGGATTCAAACCGACAAAACACTGGGCTGCCTGCAGCAGAATGCGTGAACTTAACCACTAGGCCACAGGCTGGCCCTGTATATTTTGTTTTTTTGAAGATTTTATTTTTTTTCCTTTTTCTCTCAAAGCCCCCTGGTACATAGTTGTGTATTTTTTAGTTGTGAGTCTTTCTAGTTGTGGCATGTGAGATGCCACCCCAGCGTGGCTTGATGAGTGGTGCCATGTCTGTGCCCAGGACTCAAACCAGTGAAACCCTGGGCTACCGAAGCAGAGCACACGAACTTAACCACTCAGCCACAGGGCTGGCCCCCATAAGGTATCTTTTTTATATTACATATACACTTTGGAACTTCACTATTTGAAATGTAGTTATCAGACCAGCAGCATCAATATCACCTGGGAGCTTTTTAGAAACGCAGAATCTTGGCACTACCCCAGATTAATCAATCAGAATGTACATTTTAGCAAAATCTCCAATGATTCATATGAACATTAAAGTTTGAGAAGTACTGATTTGGTATGCTTTAAGGATTTTAAAAATTCAGATGGACTAAAGAATATTAAAAATTATTTTACAGCATTAAATACTTATTAAATCCTCACCATTTCATAAGGGATTTATCATTTTTAAGATATTTCATTCATAAAGTAATATTGGTGGATGAAAATCAAAATAACTTGTCTCACATTAGCACATACTTTCCACTATCAGTCTGATCTAACATTAGTGAGAGAGAGCAAGAATTGATTGAAATTAATGTCTTGAGAACTTAAATATAATTATTACTAGAAGGTATTCACAATAACAAGAAGGAGGCAAGTGGTGAATCCTACTCCTTTTTGGCAGGTGGTACAGAGAAAGAGGAACAGAGATAGGAAAATGCAAGTGATTGTATCTGAGAAGAAAAAAGTATATACTGAATCCCTGGGACCAGTCACAAGAAAGAGAAAATGGAAGCCCTGGATCCCCAGTGTCTTACTGGACACCTGGCAGCACTGGTGGAATTCCAAACTGCTTGGGATGATCTTATATATGAAACCCTGAATGGATTACAGAAAATTTAGGCGGATAGGATAGGAGAGAGGAGGACTCCAAATAACAAGCAAAGGGATGGCAGAGAAGCAGATGTAAAATATATGTGTAAAATATATTACATATATGTATATATTGAAATATATGTAAAATATATGTATGATATCATATACCTAATAGACACAGATGTGGTCTGTCTTAACAGAAGTCAGAGAGTTATGATGAAATATAGTTTATTTTTAAGGAAGCAGTTTATAAGGTGTTGAAATTTTGCCAAGAAGATAATCAGAAAAACTCCAAGTTAAGTCTTTAACAGAGAACAAGTTTAAACCACTTTGGAGATAAAAGCCAGAGACCTCATAATCAGGTAGGATGGTGGACACTCAACGGATTTTATGCCTGGTCAGTAGTTGCCAAACCTGGCTAGGATGTTTGCCAGAGACACCAAATGCATGGGCCTCACTCCAGGCCTGCTGGATAATAACTGACGGATGTGTAGCACTTATTGTTCACCTGTCACTGTCATTAGTGATTGACACAACTATTCATTCATTTAATCCCCACAATAACTCTATGAAGTGAATACTGTTATTATCTCCTTCTTAAAGATAAAGAAACAGAGGTAGAAAGAGGTTTAATGATTTCCCCCAAGGTCACACTGCTAGTAGGTGTGGTTACAGGATTTGGACCCAAACTGTACACTTAACCCTTTCACTCTGTCATAGCTGGATTTCAAAAGTATAAATATTCTACTGATTGCTAAACACTAACAAACTTTTTAGCCCATGCTCAAGACTGATTATGACAGAGATATGGGGGGGTCTGCTAAGGGGTATCCCCTCTAGATCTGAGTAAGGACTATTGTCAAATAGCATTAGTCCCCAAAGACAGAGCCAAGATGCAAAAGGACTGTACTACTGTTCAACTAAGGAATGCTATGAAGCCACTTCATAAGCAGCTTGTCAACACTGTTGGTTTTTATAAATATGAAACACATATGGACACCTTAATACCATTCACTGGTTTAGAAAGTGAGTTTAAAAGCAAACCCAATGCATGTTACTTTGGAGATCAGAAAAGGAGGTTGATATTCTTTGGCATAGAATAAGCTTAACTATCATGTAAGTAGATGATACCTTAACTATTAGTAACAAGTTGCAGGGCTAGATGTGCATATTAAAGTAATTCAACCTTAACACCGAGTAAATGCAAGGACAAAAAGTACCAGTTATAGTTGCCCTCTGCCCTCTTCTGAAGACCAGACTTTGAACTACCAATCTGATATCTCAAGTGGAGGAAAACTTCAAAGTACAGAAGATATTATATTCTATTCGAGGACTAGGATTATTAGAGAATTATCTAAAGTGAACCAGAACTCAAAAAAAGAAAAAAGAAAAGAAAAGAAATAAGAAAAGAAAGGAAAAAAATAAGATTGAAAAGGGGGATTCCTGGAAGGAGTTATAAGCAGGTATTCTAGATCACTTACCTATTAATGCAGACCAGGAGCAACCAACTACGCAATTTTCTAACCACTTTACATTTTCTAATGTCTGTTATTTTATTACTCCCCCCCCCAACCCCGGTCCCCAAAGACTGTTACTCTCTTCTGAATAGCAAACTCATTAAATGAAAATGATCTCTGTGCCATTTTCAAAGACATCAGTAAAGAAAAAACAAGTGATACCTGTATCCCATTTTGCTGCCAGCCTAGGGAAAGAAGAACCTGCACAGAACCTGAGGTGATGGCTGCTGGGAGGAGGTCAGCAGGCTGAATTCTAGCAGGTTTAATCACTGTCAAGCCCGTCATATTTCCTGAGACGAGATAAAATATCTCATGCACCTAGTTGCAGTGAGGGTTTCAAGTATTAAGGAACCAAGAGATTTACCTGGAACCTCCAGAGCCCTCCAATGTCATCAGTCCTTTCAAAGCAGACGGGTTCCAAGTCTTCATCCAGGCAGCATTTGATAGACGAGAGCCCACTCACACCTGCCCCAATCACAGCAATTCTTTTCTTGGTCATGGTCTCCAGAAATCTTCACTGGGCTGGGTCAGTGTAACCTATGCTCAGAAAGGATGACAAAGACAGAAAGCACACATCAGTTAACACTTTTCAATGAAGACCTTGGCCATGCATCCAAATAAAGGCTGCCACAACAGGTGCCTTTAAGGGAGCCAGATTCTGCTGTCCTCTTAGCCTTAGGGAGGTGCTACACAGACGTTAAGAGAGCCCCGAGCATGCAAGACGCAGAGCTGAGACCTCTGCTGTGGTACAAGATCTCACTGCCTTTCCTGCAGCACCAAGGCAACCCTTCAGCTGGGAGCTGGAATTTAACACTGCACTTTGGGCTGTCGTCAAATCTAAAGCAACAAAGTGCAAACATCAGCCAATGGGGACGGGCTGTTCTGCTCCTACTCCTTTCAGCCACACCCCGCCCACTCAGTGGCATGCACTCCTTTCCCAATCGGGAACAAAACTTGGGCTGCACTTGTTTGGGGCAGAAAAAATTAATCCTACAACCTCTCTATTCTCCCCGCTGCAGTTGCCCACACTCTCAACTACTCTCTCTGGAGAGTGAGCAGCCCTGTATCTCCACGCCCCTCTGCATCTACTTTTAACTTCCTGGTGTTTCCTTAAAGTGACAGACTCCTACTGGTGAGGTGAAACTTGACAACAACCCGTAAGCAAGTCTTGCCGCACAAGCTTATGGGAACACCCACCTTTCAGGACATCTCTTAAAACAAACCCTGGCCCCTTCGTCCACTTCCCCACCCCAGCCGCCACCTAACAGACTGGATCTTTGGTTCTAGACTACTGGTAGAAATTTACTTTAAAATACCTGCGGTAAGGTGAGGAATGGATTACGTTCCCTACTTAGAGGCAATTAGAGTTTAGTGAAGAAGCCCAAAGCACAAACAGATAACTTCAATAAAATAAAAAATATTTTTTAAAAGTGCTTTCTCTCACACAGCTACATGTGTAAGTAAAAAACACAAAATACCCACTTTTAAAATGTAACTTAAATCTTTCAAATATAAAATCATTGACAGATAAGGCCAGTATAATGGATACAGTATTTTACACACTGGGTCAGAATCAGAATCCAGCCAACCCAAGAGTCTATTGTGACAGCTATAAGAGGTTGTCGGACAGGTAGGTTGTGGCTGATGGCATCCATCTTTGTTCACCTTTTACCCTGAGTCAACTTTGCTCAAGATGATTCAATTCTAAAAGTGCCAGCCCTGAGTTTTGGACTTACTGTCTTGACTCTAAAAGACTGACTGACCTCCGCAGGCCATTGATTATCATTTCTCAACAGCTTACCTTGGATGGTTCAAAAGGCTTAAGGGGAATGAACCCATATAATCCTCTCAGCAACCCCATGAAGCAGATATTATCATCACCCCTATTTTGCAAGTAAATAGAAAGGCCGGGAGGCAAACCAGGCAGTCTGGCTTCAGGCTGGGCTTTCAATCACTCACTATATGTAACACCACTCCTTTATCAGGATATTTTTACTTCTTATTTTGCCACAAGGCCTTCTTTCATTTCTCATCCCTCTATTGCATCCCTTTTCCTATTGCCTAACTCCTGCCTTTACATTTTACACTTTAATTGAACTACTTTTAGCTGAGCTATAGCTTGCCTTATTTCAACTACTTTAAAATATGTTTAAAAATATATCTTTGGTTTGGGGAATCGTTTGGCTCCATCAGGAAGATTCCTGCTCCATATATGGTCGGAATTATATGGAAATATAGTAAACACATCCACAGTGGGGAACATATGACATTAGCATAGCCTAATGGGACAATGAAGAGGAAGAGGCTCAAGGATGGAGTTTTATATATATCTTTCAGTAATTAGGAAAACATGTTTTTGTTTTTTGATGTGGTTCTGTCTTATTGATGCGGTTCTTATTTATCAAAATGTCATTAATCTCTCAATGGTCACATTAAGGGACCTAGTCAAAAAGTTCTCATTTAAAAAAAGCTGCTGTTTACTTTTGCTGTGGATTGTCTTCTCATTTTGCTCCAGAAATCCTTTATGTAACTAGTGTCCTCACAGATTACCACAAAATAGAATGCCTTTTGTCATCAAATATCTTTCTTTCTGTCTAATGCCACTTTCTTCTAGAAAGAAAAAGTAGAACTTTCTTCAATTACCTACATGTATCTCCCTTGAGATTTCAGAAAAATTAGCTGCTCATTCTACTCCTCCCCAAGATTTACAGCAGTGGAAGGGGCAGGGGACACATAAGAACAAGAACATCTCATACAATGATCTTGTTTCTATTAGACCATGGTTTATTGGATATTGGAGAATGTAAATGACCTCCTTTCAGTTAATGAGTTGCTAGACCACAAGGAGCCACATCTGAATCTGAGGCAGACCACTGCAAGCCACCTAGAGATCCCAGAACTTGAGACGAGTGTAGTAACTCCATGGGATTTAGAAGTGTCTCCCTTGGGATGGGGATGAACATGTCAGGAGAAGGATGAATACAGAATTTTAGTGGCTAGAGGGATGCCAGACACTGCTAGCTGTCCGTTAAAATCTGTTCTCCTCGTCTCACAACATAATATGGTTGTAGCTGGGATGGGGCTGCCCGAAGAGGAACTGTAATTTCCCAGTTCCCCTTGCAGCTATGTGTGGTCATATGAGTAAATTCTCACTAAAAACTAAGAAGAGGTGATGTAGGCAAGTTCTACATAACCTATTTATAGCAATTAAAACAGTATGGTATTGGCATAAAAACAGACACATAGATCAATGGAAGAGAATAGAGGGCCCAGAAATAAACCCATGCATATATGGACTCAAAAGAGTATTTCATTTTGTGGATAATGCCAAAAGTCCATGAATTAAATATGATTTATGTATAATTAAAGGCAATGGTTTAAGTACTATACAATGCTTTCATTTCTTTATCTTTATCTTTAAAAAAGCCAATGGTTTATCTTGGACTTCTACTCTTTGTCCTTTCCTGTAGCCTGGAATGTTCGTAAGAGAGAGACCTTGGGAAACCAGGCATTAAAGATGGTGGGTCCCCCATTAGGTTGGCTTCCTAAACGACTGGATCTTCTCCTCTGGATCTACTAATCTTGGACTGTTACATAAGAGATGAGTCAACTGCTATTTTGTTTGTGCTACTGAATTTTTAATTTTCTTTTACAGCAGTTTAGCCAACTGTAATTAATATTCTTTGGACCTGTAACTTTTTAAAGACTGATTTTTTTATAAACACTTTCAGTTATAAATGTGAACTTATACTAGAATAGTATCTTTTGAAAATAAAATTCCGAAGAGAACATTTTTAGTACAATCATTTTACATATAGGAAGTTTACCTTATAAATGAATTATTTGTAAATTGGATAATTTTGAATGTACTAGAGATGCCTAGTTATAGGAAAACCAGTGAATCCTTTTATAAACTGGATATTAATCTCTCCCTACTTAATCAGTTTTACAATTTTAGGCCAATACAAGAATTACTTTTAAAACAATATTTTAAAATATAATTTTATTTTAATGCTCTAGTGCTTTGTTTTGTAATTAATTACTTTTATTATTATTATTATTATTTCTTTCTTTTGTGAGGAAGGTTAGCCCTGAGCTAACATCTGTGCCACTCTTCCTCTACTTTGTATGTGGGATGCCTCCACAGCATGGCTGATAAATGGAGCAGGTCCACACCTAGGATCCAAACCTGTCAATCCTGGGCCTCCAAAGTGGAGCATGGAACTTTAATCACTCAGCCATGGGGCTGGCCCCATGTAATTACTTACTTTTGAATTTGCCAAATATGTTTTGTGTTGTTTTTAAATTACTTGTAAAATATTTTGAAACTTGATTCAAATTTTCTCTCTGTTTAAGCTAAATGCCAATTTGCAAGTGAGTCAGTTTCTTCATTGGGCTGTAGCAATACATGCAAATTAATATACAGGCTCAAATCATTTACTCATCCTATTGGGAAAGAGCAATAATACAAATGATAGATAACAATGACTAGTTCTAAGGTAATATATATGAGGGTTTTGAAGGAGTGTGTGTGTGCGTATGTACATATGCATGCATGTATAATCGTGTTTACAGAGGACTTTCTGCAAAGGTCCCACCCAGGAGGAGCATTTGAACAGCATAGACTCTACCTCCACTCAGATGTTCTCCCATTTCCTAATTCTTTCTATTAAGTCTGCATTTTACTTACATTCATTCAATAAATATTGCCTTTTGGAAGCCAGTTCTTTTAAGAGGGCCGCTTTATGTGATAGAAGGAGCTTGGATCTTGTTTGAAGGCGAACTGCCAAGAAAAGCTGCCTGACAAGCTTTGGACTGTGACATGAGTGAGAAATATGCTTTTGCTGAATTAACATTTGGAGATTTATTTGTTACAGTAGTAAAGCCTGTATCAGTCAGTCCTAAGTAGTATGGGAATCACTGACAGCATAGCATCTATTCTATGCCTGCTACATGCTAGGTTTTTTTGTTAGGTACAGAGGAGGGAGGGAAAACTCACGTTGAAAGGAAATGAGGAGATAAATCATGGACATTAAGGTAGGCTGAAAACACAGCCCCCAAAGAAATCCATGTTCTAATTCAAAGAACCTGTGAATTTCACCTTACTTGGCAAAAGGGACTTTGCAGATGCAATTCAAGTAAGGATGCTCAGATGGGGAGAGGTGCCTGGATTATCCAGGTGGGCCTATTGTAATCACAGGCATCATTATAAAAGGGAGAGTGAGGGCACTTTGACTGTAAAGACAGAAGGTCGTTCGAACAACTGAAGCGACGTGCTATGCTGCTGGCTGGAAGATGGAGGAAGGGTTCTCGGCACCAAAGAATGCAGCTCTGGAAGCCAGAAAAAGGTAAGGAAATAGATTCTCTCCTAGAACTTCTGGAGGGAGCACAGCCCTGTGGGCACTGTGATTTTGGCCCAGAGTAACCCATTTGGACTTCTGGTCTCCAGAAATGTAAGATAATAAATTTATATTGTTTTAAGCCACTAAGTTTGTGGCAATTCGTTAGAGCAGCCACAAGAAGCTAAGGTGTGATAAGCACAAAATGAGGATCCAGGGATTTATTCAAAAGTAAGCTAATCTAATACCCTCCACAAATCAACTTATGTGAAATGAAATGTCAGTCAAGCAGCAGTGCTGATGGCGCTTCCTGGGGTCCAGGACTGCGTGCCATGCTCTCACACACACAAAAACAAGCAATGCAAGACCTGCCCTGCGTGATTCTCAAAGATGACTGGAAACAGAGAATATAAACTCGTTAAAAAGATTTAAAGGTACTTAAAAGCCATAAAAAATGAGAAAAATCTCCAATGAAGAAATAAGAGTTCTAAAAAGTTAGTTTTAATCCACTGTTGAAAACATACATTTTCCCATAGAAACAATGTCATATTCCACAGTTAAGTCACCAGAAAAGC